GAGCCCCGGCCTGAGCAGGAGCAGGTAGCCAGTGGCAGTTGGGTCTTCGGAGATGCGTCCCCATGCCAGATCCAAGACCTCTGGCACGGCCTTGGGAGGGTCGGTGCTCTGATAGCCCCCCCCACAGATGGGAAGGCTGAGGCTTAGGATCGTACATGGCACATAGCTCGAGACCCAAGTGTGTGGGACTTGGGCAGCGTTGCCTCTCCAGGACACTGGGGCCGCCATGCTGAGGCCAGCGGTGCCGGGTTTGTATCGGGGGCGGGGTCAGGAGACGCTGGGGTTGAAGATGCCACCAGACTGTCCCCCGTCTGTCTTTCTGAGCAGACGCAGCACCCTCGGTAGCGGAGGCTTTCAGCAGGCCCTTGCCCTGTGTAATTTATGGGGAACACCCTGAGGCCTCCGCTCGTGGCTCCGTTCCGGCCTATGTAGGATGATCTCCCAAGAATGGTAGTGGATAAAAACAAAAACAAAAACAAAAATGCCATGATCTGAAATTACAAGACCCGTGAGCGCTGCCGCGAGTGGAATGTCGGTGCCGCGTTCCCTCTGCATTGGGGAGAAGCTACGGGAGCATCCAGCCCACAGTGGGCATTTTTGTGGGCATGGGGGGGTGGCAGACCCACCCGCCGGGTTCAGCTACGCTTTGCCCTCTGGCTGTGGCTGGGATGTTTGGCCTTTTCCTGCACTGGGACCTGGGATGTTCACTTCACTTTTGAGCCTCAGTTTCCACTTTCACAAAGCAGGGAGGTCAGGAGGATTACGTGGTGCTCGGCCCAGTGAAACTGCCTCAGGGCCCTTTCATCGTTGCTATTTTTCTCATGCCATTTGCAAGGATAGCAGCAAAAACTGCTACCTCGGAGTAAATCTGACTGTAGACATACATGATGACCTTATGAGGAGGACATTAGTGGTGTCCTGAACATGGAGGGCTGGCCTGTGTTTCTGGAGAGGAGGGTCTGGGCTGTAAAGCTCCCCATCTGCCCAGCCGGATCCAGCAAAGCGTTTTGTGGCCCTTGCCAAGCTGTTTAAACCATTCACACAGAAGAGCAGACCTCTTACGTAACCAAGGTGGTTTTGATGCCACAGGTCGGGGGCACAGGGATAGGCACACGGTGGTGGGAGGAAGCAGAGAAGGCCCAGCGAGCCTCCCAGATCTCGAGGAAGAGTCGATGGAGGCGCAGGGGCCAGTCCTTGGGAGCAAATGACATTGAGATTTGGCCGTAGCAGTGGGGGTGAAGCCAAAGGGTGCCCCGCCCCTGGCCTCACACCCAGTCAAGTCTGTTCAGTTCCCGAACGTGCTTAGAGCCCAGGTAGGCCCCGGGGAGGGGACGGGTGCCCTCGGCTGCAGGGCTGACTTGTGCTCTCTCCTCCTGTCCCCCTCCAGGACCGCTCAGGAAGTGGCAGCGAGGAAGACTGAGTCCCAACATTCCAGAGTCTCGACCCCGGGCCCCTGGTTCCAGAGCCGAGGCGGCATAGCCCTTAGCAGTAACGGGTAGCAGCAGATGTAGTTTCAGACTTGGGGGAAACTGTATAAACGAAAATCTTCCATATTTATACGGCAGAGAAGATGTAGGACTGTTTGTGTCTGGCCCCGTCCCGGCATCAGTAGCGTTTGTAACAGCATTAACTGTTTAAAACAAGAAAAAAAAAAAAAAAAGAATTA